AATAAATAAATAAATAAATAGAATAATAATGATGTCAATCTTGTGGGCTACTGTAGTTATTTGGCAAAATTAAGAAACCAGAACAGGTGAATTGTTATTAAGTGCCCTTCAGATGCTGGGACTAGTGGCTGAGGCAGGAGGATCACTGTTGAGTTCAAGGCCAGTACGGGCTACAGAGTGAATTGAAATCTGCCCTTGCCCACTGGCAGCCCTTTCCTGGGGTGGGGGGTAGACACAGGATAGGATGAGCCGCGTGGTGGGTGGCCCTCATGTAGGAACATTTGCTGTCATTTGTTTACAACAGCTTTCTTGGGATGCCTTGCCCAGGTCTTGGCTGTCCCTCGAAGGGGACAGTTCAGCGGTCTCTGGCGTAGTCACAGAACTGTGAGGCAGGAATGCAAGCATAAAACTTCTCATCACTTTCTCGGCTGGGGAGGCAGCTCTATGGCAGTCGCCTGCCAGGTGCACACAGGGCCGTGACCAGCTCGGCTCCACCTGGCCCAGCGCACACAACCCAGAGCCCACCTTGTCTCTGTGGACTTGCCTGCCCTGGACGTTTCATAGTGGTAGAATCAGATACCATGTGATCTTTTTTGTCTGTCCAACTGCTTTGCGGGGGAAGAGGATGCTGGGAATCGAACCTGGGGGCCTTTATAAGGAACTACACCCCCAGCTTTCCTTCCTTTCTTTCCTTCTTGTTTGGTTTCACTTTGTTTTCAGAAAGGGTTCCCTTAGGCATGGGGCCACATGACACGAAGATGGACTTCACCGAGGACCCTGTCTCCATGTTTTGGGTTTTTCTGACAGGGCTCACCACGTAATTTAGGCTGGTTTTGAACTTGTGGCAATCCTCCTGCCCAGCTATGTTACTATCTTTTTTCTCTGTGACATTTCTGCATTACACATATGGGTGACCTGGGGCCTCCTCTGTGTGCCCAGGGAAGCCCCAGAAGCCTGGGGAGCACTGGCTGTGCAGGTCCTAGCTCCTGTGTGTAGCCCATGACCTCCCCACTGGGTGCTGGGAGCTTGCTCACCCCATGGCACCCAGGACCAAACAGCTCTGTGCGACAGGTGAGATTCAGTCTGCACTTAGTGGCACTGCGTGGGGCAATTCCTGCAGGGTGGGCTCTGAGGCCACCTACTACCCGTGTGGGGTGGGTGGATGCTGGGTGCCTTCCTGACTACATCTGTGTTCATGCAGACCTGGCAGGGTCGAAGTGGGACACACCTGACAGGTGGGGTCCTGGGAGGACGAAGTTGGGCCGGGGTGCCTCAGGTGACAATGAGCAGTCTAGCGACTGGTAGAGGGTCAAGTGACACAGCCATCTGGTCTCTGCAGGCCCTGAGTTGGGGTGAGGGGCTTGCCCCTACAGCTAGCTCTCAGCATGAACCCTGTCATGCAGTACTGGGGACCAAACCTAGGGGTACTTCACTACCAAACTCCCCCCAGTCCCTTTTTTTAAAATTTATTTATTTATTTATTTATTTATTT